TATAAATAGATTGGGGGGCAAGAGCTGATGCATCATGGGAGCTGTATGATGATGAGCTACTGATGTGACACACCTGTGAGGGACGGCACTGAGGGCACAAAAAAGAAAAAGGTCGGATATTTTTAAGAGCTGTAAAACATTGTGTCGAGAGCTGGGAAACAATGTTGTCGTGTCTGAATGTGTTTTTTTTGGAAGTTTCTGTATGCTGATGTTCAGATCTGAACATGCATCACCTGGCCAATTACCAGATTTAATTTTTTCTACATTTATACACATAATGAAGCCTTCTGGGTAGATCTACTGGCACATTTGAAATAACTTTAACTGTCATACTGCAATTTATTCTGACAAGCACAAAGAGAGATGTGTGCTACGTTTCCCATGCATTCTCAAAAGCTGATGACAAACTTATTAGACTTTTTACGTAGAAGCAGTTTTTCCCTCTGTGAGAAAACACAAATAAACCCAAACCAGTGGAAAGCTCAGAATGTATTCATTACCATCCCTCAGCCTGACAAAGTGGAGTAAAGCTGGACTAATGATGGGGTAGAATGTAAATGGGGAAACTGGTCCGCTGAGAGCAGCACGACTGATCTACGAGTTTGCATGTGTTTTGCAAGCTAATATAGCTGAGATAAGCAGACACTTTCCTGGGGACAGAGCTACAGTATAAAGCAGAAGATTAGGGAGCCACGGTTTGTCTGCGAGTGTGACTGAACTTGCCAAATGTGATTTATCGAGATAAATGTGAAGATATATGATGAATGAGGAGGAAGAAAAAGAAAAACTCTGAGATTGCTCATTATCTTTAAATATAAGCTCGAGCACAAGTTTAGACTCTTATGGGGAACGGATATTATTGCAAAAACTCACAGCTTAACAAAGCAAAACATTCCTAAACTTTCAATTATTCTCCAGGTATTTGAAAGACTTTCTGGACTCACCATTAGACTGTGTTTAAAGCTAAGTCAATAGATAAATGCAACATTTGCTGTCAATCTGTGCTGGAATATTTGCTCAGAGAATTGTTCAATATTTTCTCTGAACCTCAGCTTTCCAATTGTACTTAGAAGTTAAAAGGGGAAACAGGGATTGAGCGGAGGCTTAGTACGGCCTCGCTGCTCATGTTTTCCTCTAAGCTTGGCTGAGCTGTGCTTTCCTCTGGATGCTGCTTCATAAGACACAGACACATTTAGTCATACTGGACATGTAATCGCCTGGACTGTGTAAAACATGTCTTCTTCGCCTTTAAAGTCTCGCATCTTCTGAATACAAAACAGTGTTTCTCCTTTTGAAAACGATGTTAACGAGATACCAGTGCTGTTTCTTCAGAGGATGAGGCAGGAAATTAGAACTGAAACAATTTTAAAAAATGCCAAAACTCACATAAGCTTTGATTTTCATTAAGGAGAAAAACTACTTAGCTGTCAATTAAGTGTTTTTTCATTCTCTTTGAATACAGGCTGCTGTACAAAAGACAGCTTTTTAAAGGATTTATGTTGTGCAGCTGGCACACGCAAAGCTCCAAAAACCCCACAAACTTGGATTTAGTAAAGGTGCATGAATCGTTTTTTTTTCTTTTGGGAAATGTAGCCTCATAAATTCTCACTTGTATGTCTTGTTACAGATTTTAAGTACTATGCTTCTCAAGAGAAACATGATTGCAGTGAGAATCACTGAGATTATAACCAAGCGCTGTAATTAATTATACTTTGTGGGTGAGTAATCAAGCATTACAGCATCACAATTAAATCACTATATAAAAAGAGTAATGAAACTGTATTTCCTAATGCTGATTTGATAATGAGATGGGTGTGTCCCATGCATATATAAAGCAGTGATTGGTCAATGGGGAATAATACCTTACAATTTGTCAATCTGTAAATTACTGCCAGTGCCAACTCAATTAATGATTAAGTGCGCAAGTTACTGAAGTAAACGTGTGAGCTCCCACGCTTTTCTCTGTACCTCTTAATGTCGCTCGCCATCATTAGTTTATCTGACATTTAAATATGTAAATGTCTGCCTCAAGGCTGGCATGTATCGGTCTGAAGAGCCAAAGTGCATTTAAGGGCAATTTAATATGTTCAGTAAGACTATTGCTGATACTCTGAATTAAGGCCTATCTAGTGGAAATATAGCATACACAAAATCCAAATGCAGTTGCAACACACTACGTAGTATGCCAGGGTTGCCAACTCTCACGCATCTGGCGTGTGACACACGCTTTCACTCTCAATCTCCCCAAACTATTCTCACGCCAAAAACAAGATGAACCGGCGATCGTTTTTGGTTGGTTATTTACAATGTTGAGTTGACAGTTGCCCAAGCTGTCGATCCGCTCCCTCCCCGGCGCCCCCACCACTCTTAACAACGTTAACAGACAGCAGAGCTGTGGGAGCCGGTTAGTCAATCCCCGACCCGTATTGCACATGCGCAGATCCAAGGGTGTAACTTTGGTTTGAGAAGTGGGAGGGACACAAAACAGGGGTCCTCCGCAATGAAACATTGTTCTCGATTTAATTCCATCTCCTGCCTTTCTACAAATATATTAGGGACTACGATGTTAAAAAGGCAGAGAAAAATGTGTAGTGTATATAATGAGTGCGCAAACTTATCTAGTATCCTATGTGAACCTGCTTTATTTGTGACGACCTCACGTCCTCTAGGGGGTCCGGGGGCATGCACCCCCGGTACGATTTTTTTCTTTAAATTTAAGTTAAAGGCATCAATCTGGTGCACAAATTAAGAGATTTATGGATACAGCTCTCAGCACTTGAAACAGAACTGTATATATTTCAATACTCCAAAAACCATTAGAATATGCTCACAAGCAATGACACATCATTGATAAACTCCTCTCTCCTACCTTTATCATACCTAGTCTGCATTCTTTCTTTTTATTTATTTATATTTTACTAATCACTAACTTTTCAAACTGTGATTTTGTACTGACCTATAGCACTCAGTGGAATGATTTATTAACTTATGTTGAACAACTATTTTAAATAGATGGAAATAATTGTTTACATAGATGACCAAACCGTTTGAGACCCACTGAGATAATTTAGACTAAAGTTTACAATCTAATCGCTCAGGTGGTCCTTTAGCTGACGTTATCTCAGTCTCTCAGTCCGACAGGAGAGGACTCTCCCTCTCCTTATTGTTGAAACAGCTTCTAATCTCCGTTAGCTCCGAGCTAGCACCAGATGCTAACAACAACCCCCGTGACTGACTGACTGACACTCTATCTCACTCACTCACTCACACACACACACACACACACACACACACACTCCTCCGTGACGATGACCTAAAAAAAAAAACACATTTGAAAAGTGGGGGGGACACAAACAGGATTTTGAAAAGTTTGAAAATTACGCCATACGCAGATCTAAGATCCAGTAGAAATGATACAAAGTAAAAGTCTGCTGCTTATTGTTCTACTAGGCCAAAATAGACTCAAAGAGTATGTGAGAGTGAGAGTGTGTTAATTAATACATTTGGAAGTTTGGAGTAAGTCTGTAGATTTGTTTGTGTGTGTGTGTTTCATGTATAGGCCTCTCACGATAATTAATTGTGTTGGATACATTTTCCCGGAAATTATTGCGATAAACGATAATACTGTCGGCACCGTTGTATGACCATTTTATACCACTGACATAATGTTAATATATAATAATAGTTCAAGTAAATATTTTCAAACGGCTAGTCACATCCTCATGTAAATGGAAATGTATCGAGGTCTGAAAAGTTATGGAGTTCATTTTTATTTAGTCAATTAATTGCTTATCGCGACAAACAAACATGTTTGACTTTCATTAGTGAATGAAATTGTGTGCCCTTTATACTGTAGTCTGTGTCCAATATTGTGTATTTATATATATTGTATATCCTATATACTGTATATATGCTAAGGTCCTGCTGCTGACACGATAGCAGTCATTTAGTGCGCATATGTGTAATTAAACCCACGATATCAAAATCTCACTCCAGCCAGGTACCCAAAGTTGGCAACCCTGAGTATGCAATTATAAACATGTTACGTCTAGCTAGCCTAACTGAAAAAAACGGTGGCTGGAGACACAGTGGCTTTTTGGCCTCTTACTCCCAAACTACTTATCTTAAAACTTCTAAGTAGCATAAGCTAGCTAGCCTGCTACCTACAATTATGTTGCTACTGTTACAAGAGCTTAATATAATGATGCTAGTGCAGTATGCAGTACCGTTTAGAAATGACTAAAATGACGTGTACTGAAGTTTGTATTAGCAAGGTTAACTGAAAAGGATTGTGCTCCATGTCTTTAGCCATTGTTTGAGCCAAGCTAGCTAGCCACGCAGTCCCTTGATTGCCCTGCTGATGTGACAAACATAAATCCTGGACAATCAAAATGGGTTTCCATGGACACCACATCTAATTATCATTAAAAAGGGTGTATGAGAGAGGAAGGGGAAATGGTGCTTTGAAAGGAAACAGGAAATGCATAAATCCTGTGTGCCAAAACCTAAAATAATAAATGTAAAATGCGATGCGGAAAATGCCTTTTTCTTACATACCGATAGAAGCCTCAAAGTACAAACCTTGATACTTATGTTTACACTACATTTAAGTATTGTTATATTTTGATGTCATCAGTTATTTTTCACACGTCTGATAACCTTCAACTAGATTTTTGGGCTTAATATCTGCCAGCTTGGCCAGGTTTATAGTAAACACCCACTTCGAGTACCTTTCAAAAATACTGCACAAAAGTTCGGGAAACATGCGGCGCCAACAAGATTATGTACACTTTTGAGAAATGTTTGCACAGCAGGTACTGTGTTTACATCTTTGAAGTTAAGCAGTGAATTAAAAGAAGAAGTTTCCCTCTCTTGTGGCTCTCTCCAATTTAGGATTTGAGCAAAAAGCAAAAAATGCACCCGTTTGAATGGCTCTGCTGCTGAAAAGCAAACACTTGACTCTGTAATGAAGGGGACGTCAAGTGGGCTTATAAAAACAGACATTTGGCTGCATGGAGATTTATTCATAGTGCATATATTGGCTTCACATTTCATGAAAAATAGACATATTTGTGCTTTTTTTTTTCTCAACTATATACTGCATAAAACAAAAAAGAGAAAGTCATCAATAGGGCAATACATAAAGAGATGTCACATTGTCATGATGAAGACAACAACAAAAAGCAAAACTACTTTGAAAAGGCACCAGTTTTCCATTTGAGTGTTTTAGCACAGTTTGCATGATAATAAGAATTTGGTCATAAAGCAAACAGTATTTAAAAAAGAAACGTCGTAAAAATGTAACCATGGCAAGAAATGTAACAGTGGAACCATTTTGGTTTTAGTTTTCTTCATATCCATCAAATACATTCAATTTGGGTTCTTATAAATAACATTTAGCACTTTACAGTATATCCCCATTTACAGTGTCCAAACTTATAGCTCCTCCAAAGTGATTCTCAAAGTTTGCTTTGAAATCTCTCAGTCTTGTCCTCTGCCCCTGAGCACCTTCAGGGATGGTTGAGGTAGTGGAGGAGGATTAGTGTTGAGTGCAAAGGCCTCCTCGTACAGTCAAGTAGTTTCTTTGTTCTGGATGAGCAGCAGGCCGGTAGAATCAGCTGTAAGCACCGTGTGTTCGGCTTTGTAGACATTTCGAAAAAGGTTCACTTGAGGTTGAGCTAATTTGTGCAGGGTTTGTCCCCGTGCACTGGGGACTCATCCAGGTCTGAACTGGTCAGGCGTCTGTGAGGCGCTGCGGCAGAGGGAAGGAGGAGAAAAAACATGATATACTCCTGTCAGTGTATCGCCCAGTCTAAGACCCAAATGTACTATATTCACTGTTAAAGGGATTTTGTATGGTTAGACTGTATGAGGTACTTATCTACAGTTGGTGTATTACAGTGGATGGCAATTGGCACACCCATTGTTTGGTGAATTCAGCAGGAGTTACCGTACAGAAGCTATACAATGTACTACTGTGGTTTAGATCAGTGGTTCCCAATCTGGGGTGGCGCCCCCCAAAGATCACAGGGGGTGCGCCAGGCCTCAGATGATGTGAGGCCAAATATCATATTTAGACTTTTCTTTTACATATAATTGTAACGCAATACATGATGGTCGCTAAAAGCCTTGTCTCTACATTACAATAAAATATAAAAAATAATTGATTAATTCATTTTAATAAAAATTCAAGTTAGTAGCTATTAAAGGCATAAAAAGACAGAAATGTATAATTCTTTCTTTAATAGAAATGTTTCTTCTGCCCGTAAATTGTCCAAACCGGGCTTTTCTGGATAAGCGTATTTTTAACATATAGTCATTGTCCATGCCGGTTTCAGTTGGATTATTTGTCACAGTTGCTCCGATCAGATCGGTCTCCTCCATTTTGTAGATTATTTACTTTTGAATCCACATAAACACATCGGCAAAATCCGGCTTACTTTGAGCATGTTGTTTCCACTTGCGCCGTCCTTTAATTTCTTC